AGCAAATGCAGAAGTGGACTTACAGGTGGAAGAGCAAGAAAGGCAATGTGAAAGCTAAGGGAACATTCTTTAAATGGTAATTCAAAGTCTCAGAAGTATGGCAACATATCCATCTCAGAAATAAAATGGACCAAGTTATGAGACATTTCTCAGACCTCATGAGAAACGCTTAAAAAAATCCAAGAGACCTTGAGCTCCAGATTAGTAAGAGTTGGCACAGTCGAACACATAAAACAAACAATAGAGAATGACTATGTTTCTGTGAACAAGACAATGAGTTTGAAATTTACGAAATAATATTTCTTTTCCTTATGGCAAAATCCACATTCCACTTTTCTCCACTGTTTGTTAACAGCTTTCCCACTTTGCTTTCTGCCAACTAGACACACCACAATAAACACTATTTTTTATATACAAATTGCTTTATATTCCTCAATAAATCATCTTTGCAGAGCAATAGAGCTAAAGGCTAAAATGAAATATACTGCTTCCAGAAAACTGATTATCAAAAATAGTGGTATATTGATAAGTTCAATATAAATACATCAAGAATCTGTGTGACTACTTATTCTCAGGCTAAAGATGCAGAATGATAATAAAGTTCCCAATCGAAATATTCCACAGTTCGAAGTATGTGTTCCACTTCAGGACTCCATGTCTATGTAGTGTTACCACACTGGTATCACTGCAAATTAGAAAAGCTAGCTGGTTAGACACTATACCAACAGCTACCTTTCAGTTGAAGAATCCACAGAAACTGGCTGTTAGCCTTTCTTGTCATTTCTAACTCTATAAACTAGAAATGTCTTATTCTAGAACATGTTTAAGATATTGAAGTGCAGCGTCTGTAAAGAAAGAGGCTAAACACACACACACTACTTTCACAACTAGTTCCCCTTTATTCACTCAAGCATGGTAATATATAATTTACAGATACAGGTCTGAGCCATGAAGCCAAAGAGCAACTACATCATTCGCAGTGACCGCTGTCAGTCACTATAAATTCCATTCTATAAGCAATCGCTCCCCAGGCTGCTTCCCAGCCTAACCTTGCACGCAAACACTCCCTGGCTTACTCAAGACTCAGCTGCACTGTCAGCAATTATTCTTCTTTAATTATCCACATATCGGGAACAGGATGGCTTGCAGTTTCCACATTGAAGAATGAAACCAGACAAATATTAGGAAAAAACAGAAAAAAGGAGGGGGGCACAGACTTTTTTCCACCTTCATTCCTAGATACAATCTTTTGCAAGAGTGCCACTGTACAAAAAGAAAAATACACTAAATCTACCATTTTATTTCATTATTGAAACACAAATATTTTCCTATGGACTCCTCTCCTACGTCCAGCAGAGGGTAGTGAAAGAACAGCTTTGTGAACTCCAAGGAAGTTCATCCTCAACTGCCTATCAAGTAGAAGTATATAACAAAAGATTGTAAGATTGCCTTTGACTTAGACGTTCTATTCTTCAGACAAATCACCTAAAGTTTGCTGCCATCAACAAGAACTTAAGCACACATTTTCTAACCAAATGCTAATTAACAGAAGGTACTCTGCATGGAAATTGAAATGTCTCCTGTGTCCATTCTCCCAGAAAACCAGATTTCGATCTACAAGCTAAAAATACCACAAAGAGAGATAAAGAAATGTAGGGCTACTTCACGAAAGAAAATGTAGACCATTCTGTCTCAGGCATACTATTCTAAAGCTTCTCTATCTCAATGGAAATCCATCTTAAATAGTGACATCATAGGCAAAAATAAGTTTTATTTAACCATAGCTGCAAGTACGGGACTGGAGTTTTAAACTCACAGCTAGTACACCACAGTACACATGTAACACCACATGGGAGAAAAACATGGATACTTGGCATGTTGGCACACAGTGAAAAGTACTGCCCATGCTTTAGTGCCCTTCTTTAATGCCCCTTCCACAATGTATTTGGCAACTAAGAATGTTATCCACAGAACCTAGGACACTAATGAGCCAGCTATTAAAGCAGAGAAAAGGAAATTCTACTAAAATTAATGTATTTAATCTCCCACAATCTTCAGGCTTCACAGAAGCACCTCCTTCTACTTGGGAATGCAGAATGTAATAGAATCATAGAATAGTTAGATTGGAAAGGACCTTAAGATCATCTAGTTCCAACCCCCCTGCCGTGGACAGGGACACCACATACTAAACCATGTCACCCTAGACTCCGTCCAACCTGGCCTTGATCAATGCCAGGAATGGAGTATTCACAACTTCTTTGGGCAGCCCATTCCAGTGCCTCACCACCCTCACAGTAAAGAACTTATTCCCTATATCTAACCTAAACTTCTTAAGTTTAAACCCATTGCCCTTTATCTTATCACTGCAGTCCCTGATGAGGAGTACCTCTCCAGCATCCTTGCAGGCCCACTTCAGATACTGGAAGGCTGCTATGAGGTCTCCATGAAGCCTTCTCTTCTCCAGACTGTACAGCCCCAACTTTCCCAGCCTCTCTTCATATGGGAGGTGATCCAGCCCCCTGATCATTCTTGTGGCCCTCCTCTAAAAATGTCCTTTTAGAATGGCATAATCCTTTCTTTCAAACACAATTAGATATGAAGATTGTGCTCTTTTCCCCTCCTTTATTCAACGAGTCTGTCCTTGAACACCATTCCCTTACAGCCTCCAAGACCAAAATTCCAATAACTGAGCTACAGAGGTGAAGAGCAGCTCATCTGGTCCCTTTGGTTGGGGTCTTTCCACTGTGTCTCAGCATGAGAAGCTGCTAATACCTCTGCCTTATTGTGCTGCAGAAGGTTAGAGAGGAAGAAGAACAACAAATTTATAAATCATAGAAAGGTTGCAATTACATTTCAAATTCTTTTAATAGTAATCTGTTCCTCAGTATACAGTTTTTGGGAGAAAGGATTATGTGTGAGAGAACAGAAAATAGATTTTACTAACCTGCACTTTGAACTTCAGAGTTCTTGCAGCCTTTCATGACCACACAAAATGCATTCACAAGATGCAAATGACAATGTTGTTACAAATTCTGGAGTTTGAGTCCACTATCTAGTATGAAGACTACAGTAATCAATACTGTCTACAGTATGATCAATATTGAAAGCTTAAAATATCTAGTGCTTTTGCTTCTTAAAGAATAAAGGTATGTTCAAAGATGCTCATTAATCTCTCTTTGACTTCAAGTATAGAATGTTGTTATTGTTGGCCCTTTCAGACACTCACATACATGCTATTTACTTTTGAGATGGTAAAGTGAGATGCAAGCAGAGTAAGGCATATGCTTGCAGTCTAACTTAGACTTTAATTCACAGGGACTTGTGTTAATTTGCTTAAAACTTTTGAGGTTTCATCACATACTTTCTTTAATCACTGTTAAAATAGCTATACTTGCAAGTTCCACAAGACTGATTTTTCTGTAGTCTGAATGTGTTGTTTTCTTATGACATTATTAAAAGATTCAGTAAGTTAAAAGAATTTAATAAAAATCAAGCAGCAATAGAAATATCTTAGCTGACTCTGGTTTATCAGCATTCCCTGATAAAACCATCTCCAGGGCACAGTAGTTATACATTTGCAAGGAACTGAGTGCTTGCTTCTCAAATTTAAATAATGAGTACACCGAATCAAGATATTGAGAAAGACAAATAATTTGCTATCTTGCCTCTCCTCATTTCAGCTCATGATTCCTATCATGACATATCAATATATTAATTACTGTTAATATATTTAGTATAGTTAATATATTAATATAGATAATATTAATATATACTAGCTATATTAATATATAGGTAATATATTAATATAGTTAATGTATAGTCAACATATTAAAAGCTGTGAAATTACCAAAAAAAACCCTTGTTCAAGTACCTGGAAGCAAAAATCTTTGTTTTTAAAAGGGCTATTGGAACTTCACAGTATGCAGCACTTTCCAACTGATGTTAATTCTGCCTAGCCCAATACGTGCAGTTCACAATATACCTGAAAATAGATTTCCTGTAGATCTCTTTGAGGGCACAAACAGCTACCTTGTTGATCAATTACTGAGTGTTTTTTAGTTGATGAGATTTGATCTTCCCTGTAGGAATTTTCTTTTGTACTTCATCTTTAATGCAGGGCTTTACTTAACCTAGCAATCAATGCTTTAAACACTTCTTTTGCCTTTAAGGAAAAAGTAACAGAAAACACTGAAAACTGTATGCCATTTATTCCTTTAAGGGCTCCCAATAAACTGCAACTGCCAATTCTTTAAAATTCATTGCAGAAAATATATAAAAGTTTTTAAAGAAAACTTACATCAGGATAAATAATAATCCAGTCAGTATGCTTTTCTGCAGTGACAAACATTCTACCAAGAAAGTCTTGGTCTAGACTGTTCATACAGATATCTTATTTACTACAAAGCCTATCTATCAGTGGACAAACAAAATGTTGAAACTTAGGAAAGAACTAGTAGCTTAGTAAAACAAACACATTGAAGACTTGAGACTTCTCAGCAACAGGCGTCACTCAACAGACAGGTAAACTAAAATTACCTGTAGCATTTAAGATAGGAAGAGGCTGCCATAAGACCACTGTAATCTTCCAGTATGCTATGTCCCCTAACTAGTAGAATATCTGATGAGTTTCTCAGCTCCAGTAGATTCTCCCATTGCCAATCCACTAATAGTCAATTTCTGTTCTTAAATCAAAAAGGCAGGAACATAGACAAATTAAGAGATTAGGGAAAATTTACAGATTTACCAAAGTAAAGTTAGCCTTGTTTTCACGCTTACATGAACCTTTTCCCATCTGCTGTTCAAACACCAGTCTCAAGTCAGGCACACGGTGTAAACAGCATTCACCTGTTCCGCCATTTTTGTGAAACAGATGTTCAATGTTTTGTTAATCCAGTATACAGAGTTTACAGCCTAACTGGAAGGTTCCATCCTTCAAAATGAAATTGTTCAGAGTGTCAGCTCTTGTTAAGATTAACAGCAATAGTCAAAAAAAGCCTTACTTCAAGTTCTTTCTTCAGTTGTTCCTCTCGTTCAGCACTGTGTTCAATCTGATTGACCTGGTGCCTCAGCAGCTCAGTACAGCCACTGTGTTCCATCTCCATATCTTTCATTTTCTTACATATATTTTGCAATGCATCGTTTTGTCCCTGGGGGGGGAGGGGGGGGAAGAAGAAAAAAGCATTAAGAGATACTTTTACTAAGCTAAAGTATTATAGTAGAGAGACCAGAAGAGGAATACTTTGCAAGTGGAGACTGCATTAAAATAGGTTACTAAAATTAACACATTAGCATGTCAACAGAACCATTTACCCAACAGCACATGCTCTTCGTTCATCACCAGGTAAAATGTGTTGGTTCAAAAATAACTACAAACATGACCTTCTGAGGTAAAACTAAAATTAGAGCCAATTCCCCACCTGATATGTTCTCTAAAAGAGTACAAGGCTGCTCTTCCAGTCTCTTCTTTCTCTCAGCTCAATGGCCGTGCTGGAAATGGTTAAGTGCATTTGACAAAATGATACATAGGCACAGAAGTTCTGTTTTCTTCTGGTTTTAACTGTTAGAACTTGATATCGAATCAGACATTTTTAGAAACAGTTACTCTCATAGACTAAGTAATCTTCATTTCTTTTATTCTGAGAAAGACTTCCATCTGTCTAAAAATTTAATTACTTTAAAAAATTATCTACATGAACTACAAAGTTCTCAGTAGAATAAAATAACCAAGCTGTTCTCCATTTCAATTTCTACATTCAGAAGTTGAACCAAGCTACAGGCTGCAATAATTACTAACTCTACTGGACTCAACAGCTCTGCGGAGTCACTGCTACAAAATCCACATTCACACCACACTCAGCTCAGAGGAAAGTAGCCAAATAATGAACCCCCACTAGTCTAGCGCATACTTAAGATGGAGATCCCAGAAGTCCCCAAAAGACTAGCTTTGGTCTAGCGGACAGGAATAAGCTCTTCTGTAACTAGCATCAGAAACAAGCTATAAATCCTGTGATTTAGTTGGAGCACCTTTGGAGACCCAATTTGTTAAAATGACTTTCTGTGCAAAACACAGAAAGATTACAATAAGTCCTTCTGTTCATTTACTCCTATTCAATACCATGGCAAGAGACATTTTTTGAAAATAAACTGGTTGGTCTGCAAATTCTATTACTCTTACATTATATAACCTACTTCTAGAAATTACTAATCATCTACAGAGCAAGAAGGAAGAGGAGGAGAAAATGAATTATTCATATAGAATGAATCTTTGGAAGATTGAAATCTGACAGAACCATGTTTATACATGAAGATCAAAGAAATTCAAGTCTTTTCCAAAGTTTGCAAAACAAATCTTAGAAGTTCTTCCACTTTGAATGTAGAAAGTTTTGGCAACTCAAACATGACAATAAGGAAATCACAGAATCACACAATAGCTAGGGCTGGAAATGACCTTAAGATCATCTAGTTCCCACTCCCCTGCCATGGGCAGGGACACATCACGCTAAACCATGTCACCCAAGACTCCATCCAACCTAGCCTTGAACACTGCCAGGGATGGAGCATTTACCACGTCTCTGGACAACTTGTTCCAGTGCCTCACCACAGTCAGAGTAAAGAACAACTTCCTTGTATCTCACCTGAACTTCCCCTGTCTAAGTTTGAACCCATTACCCCTTGTCCTATCACTACAATTGCTGATAGAAAAGTCCCGCTCCAACATCCCTGAAGGCCCCCTTCAGACACTGGAAGGCTGCTATGAGGTCTCCACGCAGCCTTCTCCTCTCCAGGCTGCACAGCCCCAACTTTCTCAGCCTGTCTTCATAAGAGAGGTGCTCGTCCTTATTGTCTTCTTGTCCCTCCTCTAGACTTGCTTCAACAGCTCCATGTCTTTCATATGTTGAGGACACCAAATACGTACACAATATTCCAAGTGGGATTTCACGAAAGCAGAGCTGAGGAGCAGAATCACCTCCTTTAACTTGCTGGTCACTCTCCTTTTGATGCAGCCCAGGATACGGTTGGCTTCCTAGGCTGCGAGTGCACACTGAAGGCAGCTCGTGTTCAGTTTCTCATCAGCCAACACCCCCAAGTCCTTCTCCACAGAGCTGCTCTGAATCACTTCTACACTCAACTTGTAGCTGTGCCTGGGATTGCTCCAACCCAGCTGTAGGACTTTCTACAGTGTTAAATGTTACCAACTAGTAAGCAAAAAAAAATAAGTTGCATAGGCACTATACAAAGAGCATGCATGTGAAACACATGAATAAACAAAAACTGGAACCTCAGTATATCAAAATACTGGAAAAATAGTACACCTGGACGTGGACTAAATTTAAGCTAATCCTCTTTCTTTGCAATAAGTATCAAGTCAATGCACAGGTTTCTTCCCAACAGCACACTAAAAGAAAAAAAAACATTCTTATAGAAATACACAACTATTCCCACTCTTTGCCCCACCGGAAAGACACCAAGATATTTATCTCTTCAGGTATATTTTGTTAATAATCTTTCAATTATTAATAAAAGTGAGCTGGGAAAAGCACTCATGAAATAAGTAATACAGCATTTGCTGGAAAATAATACATCAAGACTTAAAAGCATCTTACACTGTAAATGTAGTTAACATTAATCAGACGAAAAATCAACATGAACACATCAAGCTTGTTGTACAAGTCAACTGGAATTGTGAGATTTCAGAATCTTGGAGATGTCTCTAAACTTTTCAGACTTGGTAAGAAACTGTAAGATTATCCCAGCAGTCACCTACACGTCAAAGGCTCAAAGGAGAAACAAACTTCACCATGTAACAATAAATACATACACATATATGTACACCTGCATGCCATATACAGAGTTACTATATATATCTACGTATGAAAAACATGGCTGATTTTTTTTTTCAACGTGTATGAACAACACTATTTCACAAGTAGCCTAAGCAGAAACTAAGTTCTGTAAAGGATTATTACATTCTTCTGATTAACCACAAGGTGATGCTATTGCACTTACTACTGAACTCCAACATCTTTTGTTAGGAAGCGGATGGCATGCTAAGCATACCCAATAGAGTAGACTACAAACCTGTTGGAAAGCAGAGTGGATTATTTTCCTTTCATATCTTAGAGCCACATTTCAATAGGTTAAGCTGACTTTGTCTTCATGCCTACCTCAGCATTTTCACAGCCAAGTTCAGAATTAAGAGTTCAGGGAGTGCAGTCTTTCCCAACCAGGATTTTTATACATGCTTAGAATCTCTTATTTACATACATATTAACACAAAAAACAAAATCTACTTTAGCTTTCATTTCATAATTTAGAATAATTATAAAAGTATTTAAACAGGCCTGTAAATGCACAACACAAAAACTGGTACACATTTCACTACAAGGGATACATTTTTCACCATGTGAGTACTGAGGGACTGGAACAGGTTGCCCAGAGAAGTTGCGGATGCTCCATAGAATCACAGAATCATAGAATAGTTAGGGTTGGAAAGGACCTTAAGATCATCAAGTTCCAACTCCCCTGCCATGGGCAGGGACACCTCGCTCTAAACCATATTACCCAAGGCCTCGCCCAATCTGGCCTTGAACACCGCCAGGGATGGAGCATTCACAGCCTCACTGGGCAACCTATTCCAGAGCCTCACCACCCTAACAGGAAAGAATTTCCTCCTTATATCCAATCTAAACTTCCCCTGTTTAAGTTTTAACCCGTTACCCCTCGTCCTATCACTACAGTCTCTAATGAAGACTCCATCCCCAGCATCGCTATAGGCCCCCTTCAGATACTGGAAGGGTGCTATGAGGTCTCCATGCAGCCTTCTCTTCTCCAGGATGAACAGCCCCAATTTTCCAACTATTAATACATCATACCTCCAAAAAACTTTCTAGTTTGGCTCTTTCCTTGAGAAGCAATTCATATTCATTCTTGCAAGTTCTACGGATATCATCCTTCTCACTTGCATGTCTTTGCTGTTCTTCTTTCCACTTCTGCTGAGCAATATGAAACGTTTTCTCAGTCTCTGCCACTTTCTGCTGCAGTTCTTCGTTTAACACTATTGTTTAAAGATAAGAAAGAAAACAAGTAGCACTGCAAAGCATGTTAAAAAAAAAAATACATAATGATCAGTTCTTCTGTGTATTGTGATATCCTGTGGGATACTGGAGCATAAAAAGTCCAGCATTGGATAGTACCAACTTCACTACAAAGAAACAAAATTGGTGCTCCTGTAGCATATTTCACACAAGGACATAGAATGCTACAGAGATTTTTATAGATTAAAACTCTTCTCCTCTCGGAAAAGAATAAAAATTAGCAGTAATGCTTTGAAGTGAAGTCTCTATTGCATGGAAGCCTTAATTTCAGATTTCTTCAACACTTGGCCAGCTTATTTTGAATTGTTTATTTCATATAGAAGTTAGCTTGTTTCAATTAATTTTGAGGTCAACTTGTGTGACAGTGAAGATAAGCACCTGCCCCATGAAAGGGACTGTAGAAAAACCTATGCCAGTTTGGGCTAGCAAGCAAAGGAAATAAAATGCTGCTCAAGAGATTCAAATCGCCAGCCAAGCAAATGCCTGATAGGGGTACATTTATATATTCCTCAGTAAAAGCTTAAATGGTGCAAAAACCTTAATTATCTACGGCTGTTTACTTAAGCAGTCTGACTTGGGAGTTTTCCTTTATTTTACAAATTTGCTTTCAGATGAAAGTACTTTAGATTACCTTTACATTTTCTTGAATATAACTAGCTACACTGGCAATTAAAAGATCATCACTTTCTAACAGATTTTTATTTCAAATTCATCCTAGTTTTCTGAAATTTCTTCCCAGTCAGAGAATGATAAAACAAACAGAAGAGGCACACTAAGACAACACAGAGAATCAGTGGTCACAATTATGGGAGAGGATTGTCAGACAGCAGAAAGGCAAGCCTGAGAGCTGCAGAAAAACCATCTGTAGGAAGTACTGAAGAGGACAAGGCACAAACAAGGCATTCTGCACAAGAAACAATCAGGGTCACATCAAAGCACCAAATGAGGTGAGAAAGACTCCAAGTGACCCGGGAAAGCAAGCAGGAAGTTATAAACTACAAAAGAACAAACAAGCCACACCATGATAATTTGACTGCTTTGGCACCTGTCATGGAAAGAAAAACAAACAAACACAAACCACAAAACCAATGTAATTTACTGTCAGTTAACAAGAATTCCAATTAGTGATTCTGGTATTGAATAAACTAACACATATACACATTTAACAAAACATTCTTGCTTCCACAAAACCTCGACTACACCCTTTTTGTTCTCCAGTCTTCTAACCACACACAAGCACAGTCCCTTCAGGAAGCTGACATTCATGTACTGTGGTTCCTTCATCTGCAACAGTCCCTTTTGAGTTCTGCCTCTTGGTGCCTGCATGTCACTACTTTGGTCCCAACCCCTCCTCAGGCTACAGCTCTGCTGATGTCTATCCTGCTGTCTCTCCTGCTGTCCCTTTTCTTCTCCTCTTCCTTCACTCTTCCTCTCGGCATTTACCATCCTTTCTGAAACCTGTTTTAGCAGAGATGCCATGCACTCTCTGATGAGCAGTTGGGTGCACTGTGGTGTGTAGATTTGTCAGCTGTGGAGCTGGCTCAGACCAGCACTGGGCAGACCCAGACCTCTTTCCTCCCACACAGGTGGCCCTGCAGACCAGCACCCACTACTGAACACACTGTCTGACACAGGAGTCAATGGGTTTTCCAAATGAAAGTGAATCACAAAATGACATTTGAAGTACTTCAATACATACACACTACTCGCTTCTAAATTGGCAAGGAGTAAAGTGAGCATGCAGAGTACGAAACAGCTTTCCCCTAAGTGAGAAACTAGCACTTCAAGTCTTTAGCTTGCAATCACAGGGAAATTTCCAAAGGGAAATAAAATGCATTCTTTCAAATTGCAATCTGTAAGATTTGTGTGTGTGTGTGTCCTCCAAAGGATTGAACAGTTCAGCTTTCTAATTACCGCAAAAAATACCTGATAACTTAAGTACTTGCAAGTCTCCAAATCTCCTTCCATTCTTGGAAAGATAAAAATCTCCAAGAGGAATGCTCTAAACTCCTCATGGAACACAAAAGCTTCAGCAAACTCATAAATGCACCTCCTGTACTAAATTAGAAAGGTACTATACTTGGGTAATTAAAAACACACCTCATTTACTTGTAAGAATGAGAAATATCTCTGTTGAGGATCAAGGAAATCTGAGTTTCTGAATACAAAACTAGCAGGGAAAAAAAATGTCTAGGTAAAAACCCTCCCTTCCATATACTACTGTCACAATATACATGTTCCATTACCTATAAAAAGAGAAACAAGGATGATGATAAGAAAAGAAACCAGGCGTGAGCAATGAAAAGCTTGAAACCTTTGAAAAGATGAAAGAAAGAAGCAGTATGATGAAAACTTCTAGAAAAAAGTTGTTTGAAATTGTGCAAATGAACAGAAATTGGCTCGTTTTTTTTTCTTTTTTTTTAACCCTGAAACAGAAAAAGAAGAGCTGCTGGACACAGTGATAACCAGGATGCGGAGACAGCCACCAGGATTACAATTCTGTATAAGGACAACACTGAAAGAAGGAACAATGAAAGGGAAGAGGCAAGAATAAAAAGGGTTGATTGGTATAACAGGTTAGTTCTAATTCACGTGTGAGATAGCAAGAGTTTTGTAGACTGCTATGGGTTTACAAAAGCAGACGGACAAGAGACTGGAAAAGTAAGAGAAGTCCAAGAAAAACAGCAATAACTATACATTTAATTAATCATTGCTTCTCACTTGTTTTCCGAACTTGGAACTGACTTAGCCTTTGTTGATGTTTGCTTTTTTGAAACTTACTTTGCAGTTCCACAAGTTTGGTATTTGCATCACTTAATTTCTCTTCTGCAGCATGCATGTTCAGACGACCATCTTTTCTGGCAATTGCCAATTCATACTCCAGATGCTGTCGAACAGCCTCTCCTTTCTCAATTTCTGACCGTAATTTGACTATCTGGCTTTCATAGTCAGACAGCTAGAAAATAAATTTGTTTCAGAAAACTGGTATCAATTCTCTTTTGACAAAATACATGTTACAGAAATACACCTACAGAATATTTTTTAAAGATACTTTGAATCACATTTACAGCTGCCTTCTTAGTCCACTTCAAAGTGAAATATAGACTTACAAATGCACATCTATGCAGATTTTAAGTACTTTTACTGGTTTTATGCAAATTAATGTTCCTATTCCTAGATAAGTTTCATGTACCTTAAACATAGCCCTCAATTTTTCAAAAAATACACTACCTTAAGAAAATAAATGTCATCATGCTGTCATCTTCCTGCACCTCAAAGGAAAAACTGCAGCAACAGAAACATTATATTCCACAGGCAATTTTCTAGTAAGTTTCTTCAAATTTAACACTTAAGAAAAACAATTACGTTGGAATGCTAGACTATCAGACATCTAATAACTCACAAATATGTGTATGAACATAAAATTCAGCTCAATGATGTTCAGTTGTCAAATAGAATGCTATTAAATTTAGCAGACAACAAACTAAGAATGGAAAATGCTTCAAAAAGTTATCTTATCCAGATTAAGAAACATAGTATAGTCATTGCTGCTAAACTAGGTCCAGAAAATCAAGCTCAAACTATGTCAACACAAGAAGGTAGAAAGTAAAATACACAGAATCACAGAATTGCCTAGGTTGGAAAAAACCTTTAAGATCATCAAGTCAAACCATTACCCCAATACTGCCATGTCCACCACTAAACCATGTCACTGAAGGCCTCATCTACATGGTTTCTGAATACTCCCAGGGACAATGATTCCATCACTTCCCTGGGCAGCCTGTTGCAATACCTAATCACCTCTCTGTGAAGAAGTTTTTCCTAATATCCAATCTAATCCTCCCCTGGCACAGCTTGAGGCCATAACCTGTTGTTCCTATCACATTTGTTATTTGGGAGAGAAGACCAGCCACGTCCTCGCTTCATCCTCCCTTCATGTACTTCCAGAGACGGATAAGGTACCTCTTGGGCCTTCTCTTATTCAGACTAAACAAACTCGGTTCCCTCACACGTTCTTCATAAGACTTATTCTCCAGACCCTTCACCAGCTTTGTTGCCCTTCTCTGAACCCACTCCAGCACCTCAATATTCCTTACTATTCCTTCAGAACATCTATAAAGTACCTCCTTGACTTCAGTAATATTGCATGTAAGTAACTTAAGCATGTCCATTATCTGCAACTATAGACTAAGTGAATAGGGGAAAAAAAAACTAACAACAAAGCAAATCAAAATAAAACCAAAAAAACACAACAGTCTCCAGTTTATCTGCATTGCAAACCAAAACAGGAAAATGGCGCAGAAGATCCTTGTGCACCCCCATCTTTCAAATTCTGTCTAAGAAGGGTTTTGTTTGTCTGAATCCAGGTAATTCCAGAGAGAATTGCACAGAATCACCCTGCAGTTGATAGGGCAATGGGAAAAGAATGAGTTAGCTGCAGCACAAGAGCAAGTCATTGTGTGGGAGAAACAGGTATTTCTTAATTTGGCTACACACCCCAATAATAAATGGATATGGAACAAATGGTTCCATAAACTTGGTTTATTCACTGGATTTGGCCAAAAACACATGAACGAACGGCCACATCAACTGCCCCTAGCAAACTGATAAAAACGGAATTGTTATCTGTAGTAGTAATAATACTTCTGCACCAGCACAGTTTAAGCCAGGATATGAGCTGCCAGATTGGCATTAGCAAGTCTGGTTAGTGTTTCTAGCAGCAACAAATCCAAATCCGATTACAACTACTGTTGTACTCAGTGCCCACCTTCTCTTATGTGTACCAGCATGAAAGTCAGTAAAAAAAAAGATTAAATATTTTCGTACTACTACTTGATTTTAATACTAGTTTGCTACAGTAGCATCAGGGAAAACCTTTGTAAAACAGGCTAATTATCCCCCTGTGAATGAAGTTCTTGTTAACAAATATTAAGTTACTGATGAACATATCACCACATCTGTAAATTATACATCATTACAGCTGTATAAAACTGGTGATTTGCACAAGCTGAGATACTGCCAGACCACTAAAAGCTGGATTTCGTATATACACAAAAATATGGTACTAAGTTTATGAGTTGCAAATAACTTCTGCAGAATTAAAATGATACTCTAATACCCTGCAGAAAAAAAAAATAAATAACAACTAAATTAGATCTTTTTATGAGGCTACAGTCAACTGTGGCTTTTAATTGTGTCGCCAGGCAACCCTACCTAACAAACCAATGGTAGCAGCAGTGACTCTTTTCTCTGGAGAAAATCCACACTCTGCTTGATGCATGATCTTTAAATATCAACAATGCCAGCAGATGTACTTCTGAACAGGTACAAAAGGTCTGTACAGTGACACCTTCCTTGTTATTCTTCAGCTAATGACCGCTTTTGATAGTCCATGCTAGAGTATTATTTTAATGAAACAAGATCACATTTGTTCTGACAGTAAAATAAAGCAAGCAAAAGAAGTCCTTACTTCTCGATTGTGTTTAATGGTTAAGTCTAATTTTTCTTTTTTAGCTTGACAGAGTTTCCATCTCAGATCTTCAACGATATATACTTCTGATTCATTGCTGTTTTGTAGTAACTGTGACTCACACTTGGCATTATGTAAACTGCAAAATATAAACGTTTTAAAAAAATGTAAGTATTCCTTGTAAGTTTTAATGCTCCTTTACTTCACCGATCAGATTGCAAGCTCAAAGCTCTAAACATTCACTTAAACAAAATTCTGCCACAGTTGTCATCATATTATTACTGTTCTTTGAAAAAGAGTTATACAGAAATGTTTATTGTGTGAGATATGAGATGCTGCAGCAGGAATTACTGTTAGATACACACTTCAGATTTCCCCACGTTGATTTAAACATGGTAAGTTTTTTATCAATTTTAATTACCACTATTATTTTTTCAATAAACTTTCAGGATGCTTAAAAAAAAAACATTATTCCAATCACATTAAAATGACTAGCAAGTTTTTGTTTGTGTCTTGCAGTAAGGTTCATTTTTCAACGTGGATTACCATCCCAAAACCATTTCTGCCATGAAACAAATGTACATATATACAACAAAAATCACTTTTCCACTTTTTTTTTCAAAGATACATACATTTAAACTAGACACAAGAACCTGATCACAAACAACATAAATTAAAGTTCTAGTCCTCTAAAATACACAGTATCTTCATTTACACTATTTCAGTTAAAATCTACTTGGCAGCTAGCAGGAGAAGCCCTTCAACACCACAAGCAATATTAAAATAATCAAAACAAGCTTTTACAAATAGAATGAAAAATAAGTATTAAAAATACATATTTAATTAAAACAGCCCAGTTTAGTAATCTTATATGCAATTATTGCAACCTCAGACTGAACAACTTCTGAATTATTTCGGGAGTTTAAAATCAGTTCTCAGATTATTTCATATATGTAAGACTGGCTGCAATAATTAGTTGTTCCACACAAAAGCACAAGCTGCCAGGATCACTAAAAATGAAATATACTGTGAAAAGAAACATGATTATAATAACCACAAAGTTGGCAACATGTCATACAGGACTGAAAATACTAAAATAGCTTACCTCTGTCTACACGAGGTCTTAATTACAGAAATGTCAGTCCCCCGGGATTTAATTATTTGTTACATTTTAAAAAAAAATTTACCACTTTACCCCTAGGTTTGTGCAGAGGCACCACTACCATTTTCCATGACTGAGAACTCAACCTTATGAGATATGTTTTTTTTATCAGGAAAGACACAAATGTCATCAACAGGGGGAACAGTAATTTAGATCAATTGTTGACTTTAAAGACATTACTAAGTAATGAAATTTCAGGGTTCTAGCTAAAGCCTATAAATATTTTGTAATGTAATAAATATTGTCTAGTCTCCATTCATAAAAAAAGATCTATGAGTTCAGAATATGTGTGTATCATCAGTAATTGTTCCACAGGGAACAATTAGTGTGTTAAGTACAAGTGTACTTAACACATTATATATATTTAATAAATGCAGGAGATAAGGATCACTAAAACCTGCATGTACTACAGAAAAAAAACACAGGCACATTTATTAGCTTTCAGTGTTTACTATGGGAGCTATACCCAGAGGAACCAACATGACTCAAAGGACAAAAAAATCAGCAACAAGGTAAGTAAAAACACGTATTATTATATTATGCAATTCTTTGCTACTGCAGTAGGAAAATGTGGTGCTAAGTCAGGCAGGTAATAAAAAGCACCTGTAAACTGTATAAAAGCTTATTTGTGGATATCATATAACATGTCTGTGAGACCTTTATTTTTCCATGGCTAGGGACAACAGAAAATGAAAGAAAGGCAGTCATGTTGATATGATTCAAGAAGTACCAATCTCAACTAAAGACAGCTAAAGGCCAGACAACACCAAAGGTAACAAAGCACAGGGTAGGGAGAAAATCAGAACCCAAATTGGAAGCTGGAGAGAACTAGGGCAAACAAACAAAAGTTATGAGAAGAGTAACCACTTTATTAGCTTGCAAGGAGGTCGTTTTGCTTCTTTAAACCTACTGGTATATAATGCTTCTTGCATGGACAGCACACTGGATGCAAGCACGGGAACGAGTACATTTTTTCAAATTAGTAGAAACCTACATTTAAATCTCTAAGTAAATTACATTGGTTTGTACGGCAATCAGCTTTTAAGAAAGCTATTCCTTTCAATGCATCTATTATACAGAAATTAATCAAAAAACCCCACACTAGTCAAGAAACTACATAATAAAACTTACACAGAGGAAAATTTAACTCTGCTTAATTGGACCAATTTGGGGGAGAGGAGACACTCAAATAAACCACAAACAAGTTACAAACCATCAGAGGTGACAGCAAATTAGGGAGATTATAGAAATGCTAAAAGAACATAAGAGCATTAAGACACAACAGCACAACAGTAAGTACTGGGGGGAAAAGCATTAAGAGCATTAAACACCTTTTTAAAATACCATTTTTGGCACAGCTTCTAAACTCACAATGCCATTACCGAAAAATTTAAAATATAAAGCAGAAAACCCTATTTTTCCTCTTAGTATAGAATTAAATTGAACCAGCTACTTAAAAAAAAAAAAAAATTAACTCCGAGGGAATATTACCATGTTAACCATTTCATTATTTTATTTGATTACCTAAACGTTTCCAAATACAACAGACATTGGCCTTAAGAATTCTTATTTCTGTAATATTTTCTTTAACCTTCACAGCATTTCCAGCACATAAAGTACTTTGTGAAAGCTTCATATTACCTACAGTAGGAGATTCTTCTTTCATATTCATACTGAAAGTACAAGTGCTACAAGCATAAAGCTTCTGGAAGCTTAAATCAAAGACTAAAACACACAAAATCCCTCAAAAGTTTCACAGCATGTATGATTTGCAGCTTAACAGGAATTCAGAGGATATTTTGTACTTCCATCTTCATGTATTAATAGCTTATCCACTGTTGGTTTTGAACCGTAATACGTAGTTTACTAACTACAGCTTTTATCTAAGACACCATTTTTAGTAGTACTTTTAAGATTCCTCAAGAAAGCATATAAGCAGGTGAAATAGCTTTTGAGTTCTATGCTGCAGAATGACTTTTCTAACTCAAAAACCAAATTCATATTCACTTATCTGTTAGGGCGTTGAGGCACTGGAATAGGTTGCCCAGGGAGGTTGTGAATGCTCCATCCCTGGCGGTGTTCAAGGCCAGGTTGGACGAGGCCTTGGGTAATATGGTTTAGAGCGAGGTGACCCTGCCCATGGCAGGGGGGTTGGAACTTGATGATCTTAAGGTCCTTTCCAACCCTAACTATTCTATGATTCTATGATTCTATCAATTCAACTAGAAATGACAGCCAACAGAACACTGCAGAAAAACAGCTTTTCACTAGCTTTTCTTCCACATCTGGCAGAAAATACAGTGATTTTGTAACAGAAAGAAATTTTATTTCCTCTACTATCCAGCACTGGAATTTTGCTAAACTTCCCCAGCTGAAAGTTTCCTAACCAAAATTTATATTCATGGAATTTTGCTGTTCCTATATAACTGGTACTTTTGTATAATCAGACTTTAAACAGTGACAAATAGCTCTCACACCTAAGAAAGACAGAATGAATTAAACCTTACTTTAATTGCCCCAGAGATTAAACACACATAAGGTTTTAGAAAATAAAAGTCATGTGCAAGATTTAAAGCTGACCTCTACCCCCTCAGCTTATGCAGAAAACCATTCTGTAACTGCAGGTCACACTCCTAACTGCAGAAAGGAACCACCTCTATCTCCAAGTCACATCTCCCACAGTCATGTGAGAATTCTTGCAGACCCAATTGCCTCAAGTAAATGCATGCCTTCAAGCAAATCTTGTCATCTATAATAACTGCACTGAATGGCATAGCTTGCATGTATCACACCGTACCTGGTGGTTCTTCAGTCTGAATTACATTATTTCAGGGATCTAGAAAATAAACCACAAAAACACAACAATACTACTAGAAGTACAGAAGTAGAGCTCACCATGCAACTTCCATGACAGCAGAGCTGACGGAAGAGGACACACTCATGACATCCATAAAGCAGCTTTGAGTTTATTAACTCTGGAGAAGGAACATCATCTTCAACCATGTACACTCTTAGTTGACAAGATTCAAAGATTACTCTTTTCCATATCATAACATTAAAACCTGCAACAGAGAGATATTTCAGTTTATTTGGCAATTAACCATTTAACATTCCCAAACAGTTACCAGTGAGACTACTATGCCTTGTGAACAATTACCACCCACAATCTGACATCAGTTTTAGTCAAGAAATAGAACTATTACTGTCCTCTAAGCTTGAATATTGCAGATGAAGATAAATATATATACTGTACAATATCTTCTACCAGGTTTTCAGAAGGAAGTAAACACAAAACGTTATGTTTGCATAGATTGTTCCCCTATATTTTTTTCCCCCTAAGAGTATCACCAATTTAATTTATCTTCAAAATAATTCAAGGGACATATAAGCACATACTGTGATTTTTTTAAGTAGGTCGACATCCAAGGTTTGCTGGCAAATGGAAGCTAACATAGCAAGTCTTCTAACTTTTTCATAAACCTGGAATTTTCTATTTGAACACATTTTTATTAGATAAGTCAGCAATATTTAGGGGTTATGGGAAGAACATTAAACTGAACTGTAACTCGGTTCACCCATAAAAGAAACCCACTGATTTAGAGTTACTGACAAAAAGAAATATACAGACAACATGCTGACAACACAGATCTTAAAAAGAGCTCCAACATGTACTTCAAGTTGAATAGTGAAGACATTTATGTGTTCTATTAATTAAAGCAAGACGACATGAAAACTAAGCTGTATCCAACAGTCAAGATTAATAAGCCACAACTCACTGAGGAACTGTTTCTCCATATCACCCTTTTAAGCTGTGTTGCAACAAAATCTCCAAAGAGCTCATCAAAAAAGTGTAACAAACACTTTCCCAGATATCTGAGAGATTTACCTCAAGAACAGAATTCACTAACTCTATCCAACAACAGCTGCAGTGAAAACTCTTTGTCTTAAAACACAATCAAAGCATACTGTCACATCCACCCCATTCTGTAGTTTAGAACTTCCTGAAATTACTCTGAGCCATATAGAGGGGGGAAAAAAACCAAAATATAAAAATAAACAAAAAGCCCTAAAGAATATTTTCTGAGAATACAAATTATTTTGAATACACAACATTCCTCTGTTAAAATACGTATCAACAGATAGCTTATTAGAACACAGGGATACCCTCTAAAAGCATGCTACTTCACTTCCAAACAAAAGTATTCAAATGGCATGGAATGGCTTGTAGGAGCCACATAATTAAACAACTGTTCATCTGAGGGATTAGTACATTTGATGGGCATTACCTTACAAAGTTTTCATCATATTCTCCCCATGGACTTCTGAATATGTGCAACTATGAACTAGGCCATTGATTTTGAGAGTGGATATAAGTAAGTTCTTTACTGTGAGGGTGGTGAGGCGCTGGCACAGGTTGCTCAGAGCAGCTCTGGATGCCCCATCCCTAGCAGTGATAAACGTGAGGTTGGACGGGGCTTGGAGCAACCCTGTCTGGTGGAAGGTGCTCCTGCCCATGGCAGAGGGTTGGAACTAGGTGGATCTTCCAAGGTCCAACCCAAATGGTTGTATGACTGAGACTCTCAAAAAAGGTCTATGATCTCAAAAGGTACTATTTTAAAATATACAATCCCAGGCATACCTAACATATCTGCACTGGACCCTATAAAAACTCACCAGCAGTTGTTTCAGCTCAAAGAATCCCTAGATTTTCATTAACGTGGATTAAAATTTCTATGGAAGCTAAAATTTAAGCAGCAGCAGCACTTCACTGCGTTACACTACAGGTGTCACTGGACCGTACTCGCGGCTCACACGGTCTGTCCGGCAGGCCGAGGTGACAGCCTCAAGGAAGCGGGACAGGGTTTCAGCACACCCCTCACACCTGCTCGCAGACACCCGAAACCTCCCAGCAGCACCGATCTCCGCCGTTCACCTAACTCCTCCAGCCGGCTGGAGACCAGCAGGGCAGCCTCAAAGCCCGCCCGCCGCCGGGATGGGGCTGACGGTGCAGTACCGCACAGACCCGGAGGCGCCGGACGTGGACTGGGCACTCCCGAGCCCTGCGTGAGGTGTCCTTGTCCCGCCGAAGCTCCGCAGACACCCCCGGCCCACCTCAGCTAGACCACCCGCGGCCCGCCCGGTTACCAAGGCCCGGGAAGAAGGACGCGAACCCGCCCCACCACGCCACGCCCCGCCCCGCCCCGCCCCGACGCGGCACGCCGCGCGCAGGAGCTCCCCAGCGACGACTTCCGGCTGCGGAAGGGTCCTAGCAACGCCGCCGCTCGGAGCCGGCGAGAGGAACGTCGCGCATGCGCGGCGGGCACTGTGGCGTTGCCGCGGCGGGGTGCCGTAATGGACTCCCGCCATTGCGCCCGCCCGGATTGTCCTTCGGCGGGGACTGGTGTCCGCCCGCGAGGAAGCGGAGGCGCGATGCTCAAGCCCGTCGCGCAGGCGGCTTTCACGGAGCAGGCAGCAGGGCTGGGAGGCCAGGATGAGGGGCAGGCTCACCCGCGGTGTTTGCCGCCAGTTCCACCTGAGGGTTTGCACTTTGTCCAGTTCAGGAGTTGCTTCGGGCCACCCGAGACTTACGGGTGAGTGCAAGTGTCCTCAGCCAAAACCGGTATCCCTCAGCCAAGCCACTCCACAGCTGGTTGGGCATGCAGGATGGTTCACCTAGCACAGCTGCCTGTGCCGGCCCAATAGGCAGTCACCCCTGTGAATATTGCCATCATCAGGAAGCTTTTGGCAGCACAGGCAGCATACCCAAACACCTCTCTTCATGGGAGGGTAGCTGTATCCTCCTTCCCAGAGCTGCTGGCATGTGGGCATGTCTGCAGCTGGACAGTAAGAGATACTAATCTGCAAATTAGATTATAGGGTAAATATGTGTAGGAAATCTTAGAATCACAGAATGGTTTGGGTTGGACAGGAGCTTAAAGCTCATGTAGTTTCAAACTCCTCTGAGGGACACCAACATCTTCCTCTAGCCGGATTATTCAAAGCTCCACCCAACTTGGCCTTCAACACTGCCAGGGATGGGGCAGCCACAGTTTTCCGGATAACCTGTGCCAGTGCCTCACCAGTCTGACAGTAAATAACTCATCCTAATATCTAATCAAAATCTACCCCCCCCTTCAGTTCAAAGCCATTAACTACCCCTTGTCCTATCAATACAGGCCCTTGTAATGACAATTACTAACATGAAAGCCAGACTGAGACTTGGATGCCCTTAAATATGGGGTCGCAGATTCTTCACCCGGATCACCAGGAAAACACGTGAAAGATGATGGTGCAAAATCATAAGAAGGGTTGATGGGGGAAACAAGTAACAAGGTTACCACTGTTGTTTGCCTCACTACACAAATTGAAAAGTTCTTAAGAAGCACTTCAACTGAGAGATTCCAAGGTCCAGATGGAAGCATATGTAATGTCAAACAGCAACAGATGCTGAGTAAAATTCACACTACAATAATCCTAGGAAAGTGGATGGGGTATTCTGGAAAGAGTGTTACAGGCTGAAGGGAATTAAAACAACTTTAACATGTTCAGTAACTACCATTGACACGTTCATAAGTAGATACACGTTAATATATTAGTAACATGTTCTCTTACTCTTTATACTTAACCTGAATTTCTGCAGGCTGTGAGAAATATTGCATGAGCAAAATTGTGTTAAAAGCTATCACAAATCACATTTGGAAAAGCAACAGTAAGGTTGCTTTAAATAAAGTAAAAGTATTATAAAGGTAAAAGTAGTAAAAGAGTATCGGTCTGCATTCCAAGAGAAAAATGCCTCACCATGTCCATAGCCTAGCAGGTTATCTAGGAAAATACACCATCCACAAATGACCAAGTTAATCTTAGAATTCATACAGTCCAAAAATGACCAGGTTATTTAAGAACACAGGGTCCAGAAGATAAATAAGGCACTTAAGAGACAATAATATAAAACGGATAGCGCACGGAATGGGCGCATGAGGAAACACAGAAAAAAAAAAAATCTGTTAACTCTTGAGCCCAAGTAATAGCATAGCTGAAGACATATTAAGATTGGATATATATGACTGTAGCGAGCTCACACAGTGCTCTGAGTAAGGTGCTCTGTTTCTTCAGCACTGGATATGCAGCACCCATAAATCTGACAGGCTGCATGTACTGCAGCTTATGCGAGTACAGTCTTATCACTAAGGGGAGCTGTGTTGCATTACCTATTCTCAGGTTTTCTAAGTTGCTTGTGATCTGGTAACCCATTCTAGCTCTGTGTCACTGTGTAGTCTGAATGCAACAAATTGAAAAAGAAGCATAAAGTCTTCAACTTTAATTCAGATTTTTTACTCTAAAGGTCTCAGAGTTTATAATGTCAAAAAAATCTACAGAGAAGTATGATTCACAGTTTAAATTAAAACATCTTTTATCTTTACATACATGCTTACATTTGTAAAAACACATAAAAATTGCTGGGATTTTTCTTCAGGTTGGAATTCCCCAAAAGGAGCAAAATTACACTATAGATAGTTACTTATGAAGTTTAAATCATCTTGTATTAACCACAAAGCTGCAGTTGGTCCTTACTCAGGAAAACACTCATACTGAATTCAAAGTACAGCTAAGTGCTTTGGCTTACAGGTCAGCATGACTGACTTCATGAATTCAAGTACTGCCAGAGCATTTAAGGTTCCTGTCACTTTTTATTCCAAAGTTGTTTCCTGTTGCTTTTAACTGCAAAAAGACCATTTTGGGCTAAGGTTTTCTAAGATGTGTGGTTAAGTATAGCCTGATACTGGTATCCTTCAAGGTCTAGACTGAAGTTTTAATTACAAGTCACAAGATGGCCCATCATGTTTTACCCCCTTTAAGATAAGTCTCAAAACTTCATTTCTAGTTTGTGACCCAGTTTATGTATAATTGGCTTTTAGCTGTCGTTTTGCTACTTCTGCATCACAGTTATTTTAGATGTCTTGTGCCAAATCAAAGAGGTTCTTTGCCCAGAGGCACAACATTGGAAGATTTCATTATGTGGCAATTCTTTTAATAATAGCATGGCTTTTTTTTTTCCTGATCAAAAATACATTAATGAACAGGGCTCTGTGTCTGCTGTTGTCTGATGAATAGTAAAAAATTGAACATCATTCAAAACAGCCTGGGATAATAAATGAAATAATAATATGAGAAGAATTGTAGAGATTTAACACCATATCTGGAGTTTTGGTAGGTTTTGGCACCTTAATACCTTAACCAGATACTGAATCGATAAGACAAGTTTATCTTCCCAAAATAATACACATATCATTTTTTACCTTCATTCACAAAAATTGCTTCAGATACAATGCTGCTGCTGCTGCATGCATGTAGCTAACCAAACACCTTTTCTTCCTCCCACACTGAAAACTATTTATCATATATCATAGAATCATAGAATCAACTAGGTTGGAAAAGACCTTTAAGATCATCAAGTCCAACCATTACCCCAGCACTGCCAAGTCCATCCCTAAACCATGTCACTGAGATGAGATCCACGCAGTTTTTGAACACTTCTAGGGACAGCAATTCCACCACTTCCTGTGCAGTGTGTTCCAATGCCTGATCACCCTCTATTAGGAAATTTTTCCTAATATCCAATCTAAACCTCCTCTGGCACAGCTTGAGGCTGTTTCCTCTTGTCCTATTTCGTGTTGCCTGGGAGAAGAGACCAATCCCCACCTTGTTCCCATCCTCCTTTCATGTACTTTTAGAGAGGAATAAGGTTCCTCCTGAGCCTCTACTCCAGACTAAACAACCTCAGTTCCCTCAGACGTTCCTCATCAGACTTATTCTCCAGACACTTCACCAGCAATATACATGCTATCTTAGGTATTTCTTCACAGTTCAAGTAATATTTTGGTCTAAAATCTACTTGTAGACAGGATATATAGGAGATTTTTAGAAAGGTAGAAACAAATCAAAGTTCTTTCACACATGGGATTCAGCATTATTCCTCAAAGAGACCTGTTCAGGATGTCATTAGAAAGAGTGCTTGAGACTGGGGATAATGGAGAGGAGAATGTGGTGCTTCACTGTGGATGTGGCCTTGGCAGAGCAAGAGGCAACTACTTATCTTACAGGCAGGATACGAGTGTGTTTCTTTGCAATGAGACATAACCCACACCTGCAGGAAATCAGTTGAAAATGGCTGTTTAAAACACAAGTTCAAGACATAAAACTTCTCACGGGAAGAATTATTTTGCCCTTCCAAAGTTCGTTCCTGGCTTGTAAGCTTAATGCCATACTGTGTTCTGACCTTGTGCTCAAGAAGTGGGTGGCAGATCTGTCTGAAGGACAGAATTCTGTCCTTCAGAATTAAACTGCTAAAAAATGCTGATATGGTACACAACGTTTAATAGCAACAGTATGGCATGTTACCCTCTTTCAAGTACAATGTCTGGATTGCAAAATACACATTTGTTTTTCCTTCTGTTGTGTCTGTCTGTACTTGAACAGTCTGTCTTCAGTCTTTACTAACCATGCACAAATGAGCCTGATTACACACAAAATATAACTTGTTCAAGCAATTTTATTTTTCATTCTTTAAATTGAAGTTTGCTTTGTTTTCTTTAGCTTTAAAAAATGCTTTAGTCATATTAGGCTGTCTTGAAGAACACCCTACTTTTGTATGAAGCCAAGTCATCTCGAGTTACTTCCTTAATTAGGAAAAAAAGCATTTTCAGCTGCTCTTCACTGGTTTTAACACAAGGCACAAAGCTTCTGATTCCTAAGGAATGTCAGATTCAAAAGACTTACCAAGGGTTAAGGAAATTAGAATGTTCTCAGGAGATTCCAAAAGCATTACTTCAAAACTAAAATATAAACTTATTTGATCTGATGTATAATTAAACAGAGTGGTGACTTAGCTAAGGAAATCCTTGCAGATTGTCAGTTTCTGCATAGCAGAATGTTAATATACACAGTTTTTGCACTACTTATTGCAGAAAAAAATACGAAACTTTATGTATTATTGAAATACTTACATATGTGCCAGTGGAAATACAATTTCTACCACTGCCAAGCTTTCATCTACCTCTAAACAATTCTAGATGTACAGTTAATTCTCTTAAGGAACTTTTGCTCCAGGTCATTCACTTGTGGATAGGAAGAAAGGCTTTTTTTCTGTCTAATATGATGTTGATTTCTGTTTATATGTTCTGTTTTCTGATGAGCTCTTGTCTAACCCTGTAGAAAGCTGATACTTGTGTAAGGCATATGAGTTTCACCACCTCAAATAAAATCAGCCACCGGAAAACTGCTGTTTGTCCCTGCTTAACGCAGATGGAGTAAAGTTTTGCAGTTAAAATTTGTAAGTGACCATTTTGCATTTGAGTAGGAGAGCGACTAGAAAAATTCACAACTTGCTCTTTGGCAACTGCAGTGGGTGTTTTGGCCCTGAAATGCAAGGCCGGTTTCAGTATCAAAACTGAAAGCAAGATTATGCTTATCACAAGGACTTATCTTTGTTTGCTAGCAGCAGAGGGCAGCTGGCAGAAAATTGGTCTGTAAAAGCCGTGTGCCAGGATGATCACTCAAGCACAAAATAGTTAGGTCTGCCCTGTGAGACAAGGTAATTGTGCAACAGGTAATTTTTTGTGCCACTACTCCTGCAGTGCAGGATTGCAGGTGTTGCTGTGTGGTACATGAGTTAAAGACAAAGCGAAGTCAGAGAGCTGACAGGCCAGCTAATTTTCATTGAAGAGGGAGAAGAACAAGAACTAGAGCCAACAGGACAGGCCAGCAAAGAGAAGGATGCTGTTGGGTTAAAATCTGGGTCTGAGGTCTTCTGTTGGGAGAAAAGTACCTGTTGGAGGAAGGTGTGGGGAGGCTGTAGGTCCTTGGTGCATGCAGTAGGGAGAACACCTGGCCAGCAGAAAAGGGAGAGGAGGGCGCAGTGGCTGAAATGCTGGGAACAGAGTGAGCTTCATACTGCTAAGCCATGAGAGAACAGAAACAGAAAGCACAAGAGGAATAAGTCTGAATTAACAGTAAAACTTCAAAGAAAAATAGGAGTTTACGGTGACTGGGTTGCAGGCAAGAAATGCGGTGGACCTGAGGAACTGAAGCTGTGGGTTGTTGGGGGGGGGGGGGGGGGAAGTCCAGACATTGAGAAAAGTAAGCAGGCAAAGAGTACGCAGGGAGCATGAGCATCTTTGGGGCCAACAGCAGCACGGGATGATGGCAAGTCTGGGAAAGGGAGGCCTCTGTAACAGGGCGGAAAAAAACACAAAGGGACCATCGGGAACAAACACCCGTCCGCTTTACACACGAGGGTGGTGACAGTTAGCTGTGAATGGAGCGAGCTTTCAAGTCAGAACGGGCCCAGCGCAAGGCCAGACTGACGAAAGCAACCCCGGGCGAGCACTGGTGACTGAAGTGCCGGCGCTTGGCCCCGGGCCAGGCTTGTCACCAGCCTGGAGACAGCCCCGCGCTTGCCAGCCACGCTGCCGCGGCGGTACCCAGCGCAGCCCGCTTCACCGTTAGGGGAGTAAGGGTCGGATTGACAGGGACACGCGAGGAAGTAGGCCGGCCCGCGGCCCTTCCGCTGCCGCCGGTGCCGACGGCGTCCGGCGGGCTCCCGCCGATCCGACTCCTGCTCCCCCAACCCTGCAGTCCAGCGACTGCCCCGCCCCCGCGGAAGGAGGAATGAGCCACTGCTATGGCTGAGGAGAGAAGGGGTGGATGAGACTTGGTCTCTCCTTTCATCTTTCCCTCCGTCCCTCGGGGCGGGCTGGCCGCTTCTCCTGACTGACTCCGTTCGCCCTCACACCTGGAGGCGTGAGCCGAGCCGTCTGTTTTCATCAGGCCTGAGCCGCCTCACCCCCGACACCTCCCCTGCCGCCTGGTTGCGGCGTGTGGTTGGTACCGCCTCGCCTGGCGGGAGGAGGGAGAGCGGCGGTAACTCCGGCGGCGGGTACGGCAGCTGCTGGAGGAGGAGGAGGAGCAGGAGGAGGTGGGCTGCAGGCCGGGCAGCAGCACGATGAGTAGCGAGGCTCCAGGCCGCTGCAGCTGAAAGGGCGGGGGGGGGGGGGGCCGGGGGGGGGGCGACAAGGGTAGAGAGAGATGGGCGGAGTTTCGCGTCAGCGCCGTCGCGGCTTATATGAGGGGGGCGGGGGGAGGATGCGTCCATTTGGCGGGAGCGGTCCGGTGGAGGAGGGGTGAGCTTTCGCTGAGCGGAGCCGAGCGGGTTGTACTGTGCAGTGTCGTGTGTGCGCGGTGGGGCAGTGCGGGCGGCTGGCAGGCGCTCCCGGCTGCGTGCGGCCCGGCCCGGCCCGCATGGGTAGGCAGAGCGCACCGCGGGTAGGGGCTGCGAGTGCGACCGCCAGGGTCCGCGGGGTTCCGGCGGGCTGAGGGGTGGGCGCGGCACAGTGCTTCCCGGCCGGGGGCCGCCCGGCCGCCGGTACGGAGCGCGCCGTTGATGTCCCCTCGTGTGTTGCCCTTGTCTCTGCTCCCCAGCGCGTTTATCCCAGCAGCGGGACCTAGGGCGGCTGGCAGCGCCTCGGTGTCGGGGACTTGAGCTGCAGACCCCTCCCCTCGGATCAGTTCTGCTGGCGGAGCGGGCGTCACGTCGGTGAGAAAACATGAGCCGAGATTTCAAACCTGGAGACTTGATCTTTGCCAAGATGAAAGGTTATCCCCATTGGCCAGCCAGGGTAAGGCACCCCTCCTCCCCTGCAGGCCGCAGCGCCCTCCTGCCCGGTACCTGCCCTCCCTCGGCCTCCCCTCACGCTGTTCGGGCTTTGTGTAGCAAGAAGCGCCTTCAGACACCCCCGGAGAGCCAGGCGCTGAAACCGCGCGACGCGCTCAGCCACCCCTTGCCCGAGGGAGGGCAGCGCAGCGCTCCCGTGGTTGGAAGCGACTTGTGACCCGCGCTGCAGATCCGTGCTCGGGTTTGCTCTTGCCTTACGCTTCTGTGCAAGTCGCTTCTAAGCAGTCGTCCTCTCTAGTAGTTGTTATCTGTGCTAATTTGCATAACAGCTTTTAGAAATGAAGGTTGCTGTTGATAGCGCGGTGCTGGAGCTCTGCAGGCATCTAACTGCACCAGAATGTTCGTCCCAAGTGACTGCCCTCTTTTGACAAAAGAAGGTGATGTCGGGTTTACTCTTGCTTTTAAAGGCGGCTATTCCTACACTGCTTCCTATAGAATAAGCCAAGTGCGTGCGAGGAGTTGTCTAGTCCTGTTTTTTTGCACTCTCCCTGGTTCTTTGGAAGAGGCAGAGTTCTGCGACTGCTGTAATAAAGCGGTATTTTGCTAAGATGCTGATTGAATAATATTTTTTTAAATTTTTTAAGTCCATTGACCTTTTTGTATCACTGGACATTTGGGGTTGGCCAAGCTCAGCCTAAGGGCAGGAAATCTTGCTATTACTTATACTGAAGGAGGAGTGGTGTTTGAATGGAATTGAAATGTGCTTTTCACTTGTAGCATGTCATGCCTCTCCAATTAAAGATGATCATGTGAAAAGTGTTGCTCTAACAGGAGAAGGCTTGTCATTTCCTATACTTGCTAATACTGGTTTTGATTCTGCTGTGTTTTTAACATACAATTGAAAAGAGACCTTGAGACCAGCTTTACTTCTCTGTAGTTGTTTTTTTTTCCTTTTTAATGCCAAGCAATTTTACCTACTTTCCTGTAGACTGTTCTTAACTGTTACTTGACTTGAATTACAGTCTCTCTTTTTCTTAGGTGGATGAAGTTCCTGATGGAGCAGTAAAGCCTCCTACAAATAAAATGCCTATTTTCTTTTTTGGCACCCATGAGACGTAAGTCCTTTATATTTAAGGGTCATAATTATCTTCTTTTTTTTTTTTTCCTCATTGTAGAATGCTATGACAAGAAGTTAACAGCTTGTCTGACCGTAGTGTTTTATAGTATAGGTTAAACTATAGTATTTAGTAGCAAAACAGCTCTTCCTAAATTAATTTCTTTTGACAAGACATGCTTCTCTAACATTTGCTGAACGTAATCACAGGAGTGGGATACCATAACTATATCATATGCACTTTCCTTGTAAAAAAAAAAATAAATCCTACCCACAGAGGCATGACTGACAGGTTTTTCTTTCTTCAGTAATAAACTTTAATTCTATAGTCCTTTATATCTTAAAGATTCTCAACAATATGTTGTCAAATAAAAAGAAGGCTGAGCACAATGAAGTAGGCAAAATTTCAGAAAGTGGCAAATAATCATGTATTGGCTTTTGGTAGGTTTTGTTTTCTGGAGAGGTTTGGGTTTGTAAGTAATTTTTTGTAAGACCTGGAGAGAAAAATGAGGAAGTGCAGTTAGATTTATACCTATCAACTTGCAAAATACTTGATACAGTGCTACCATTTTGCAGTTGTGGAATGTTTGCTTTGAGGGGCTGTTTCTTCCACTGCTAAGTTTGATTGTAAATATGCTGGGGTTTATAAATCTCTGTCGTTTTGAAA